ACACCAACTTTCATAAGACCAGAGTGACGATTGTCTTGAAACGCTACCACTCACAATTATGTACAGTTGTTAACCTGGGTTTGATAAAAAATAAGAGTACGTGACAATACTTGCAATTAATTCTATTATATTGTGATGGAAATATAATAATAATACGTTTTACACGGAACAGACAAAGTGATCATGATATTTATTATAAATTTTATAATAAATATCATGATCACTTATTAACTATATGTTAATAAGAAAAAGTTTTTGTTTGGAAATACAGTAATTATTGTTTGTTATTGTTCATTTACAGTTTGTCTGTAACGTTTAAAATCAATGAAATTGTGACATTAAAATCAAAGCGCTATATTTAAATTACATTTCGTCAAACATTTTCAAGTTCATAAACTACTTACCTTAAATTGCGCACTTAATTTTTTATCTAATATTTGAGAGGTAGATTTCACCAAGTAAAAAGTCTATTTAACACCATATGTTTGATTTATGCAAATAAATGTGAATCGAAGATTATGTGATGAATGAACAATCTTTACTTTACAATAATTTTTATGAAATACTTGTCAAGTGTGGATTTAAATGGTTCAAGTACAATTTTACTTAAGATGCAGTAAAATTTTTGAGAAACATCATAACACGATAATCTAAAAGTTTATTTTTCTTCTTTCGTAAGAATTAAAAAACAAAATCGAATACTGTATTTATTTTTTTAAACAAAACACATATATTTGAATTATTCTTATAAATTTAATTGACTGACATTCTAATACGCGCTAATTTTATTCAAACAAACACAATTGACATTTTTTTTATTTCGTTCCATTGTCTATGTAAAAAGTTGTAATGTTTGGCTATCATCGAGTAACAGCTACTATCCATCTCTTACACGCGATAACATTAGTTTTGGTACGTAAGATTTTAACTTAGATTAAACCAACGGGCGTTTGATTTTTAAACCAGTTTAGTAATCGAATCGTCGATTTCAATTTTCAATATATTATAATGAGGACATTTATGTATTGTGACATTTTTTTTTATCATTTATATTTAATTAGTCATTTGTTAGTAATTAAATAAGAGTTAACTTGATCTTTTCCCACGATCCTCGAGGTTACGCTATTAAAGTTGATATCATAAGAAAAATAACGTTTGACTCGCGATAAAATTAACTTAGGAAATCACAGTAAAACTTTTTAGTAGCTATTAGGATTATCAGTGATAAATACTATTTTTTTTTAAATACCAACACTACTAAATGTTAATATGCGATACGATTGATAAAATTAGCATATTATTATCAAGATTATAATACTATAAATTGCATAGGTACCCACAAAAGATAAAGCTCGTTTTTCAAGTGATTCAATTTTAGTTCTTGCCTCGATTAGATGGGACCAGGTCATCGGATATGCTGTGGCATTTTTGGAAACTTGCCCATCGAGCTCGTGCCCTACCTAATCTAATTTAATTTAAAGGTTCAACATTGCCAGGAGATATACTCAGTTAGATTTCCAAAGTACCTATTACTATATATTTCGGTATTGTATTTTGCTTATGGCAGGTTTATATAATTGAGCAACCCACCTTAGTTCCACGTTCACATCTAAAACAATTAACTCAGTTTATTGTTTTAAAAATTATTGTATTACAAACTCGCGATTCTTCAGCCACAAAGTTAATGACTCCTGGATTTGTCATAAATAAAGAATTTTTTTTTTTTTTTTGATAAATTGGGTTTTAACAATCCTGCAGTATAGTAAAACAGGCATTTTATTTTTTAAAAGATTATTTACCCACAAAATCTATTAGAGAATTATAACTGTAATAATTTTATTTGAACAATGATTTAAGTTTAAGAAATTTGTAAGTAAAAAGTGTTTTAATGTTATAATTCATTACTTTATCTAATATTATTTAAAATTAATAATATATTGGAAAAATTAATTTAAAACTAAAAAATATCTAAAATATAATTCAAAAAGCCACAAAAAAACCTGTATACATATTTCGGCTACAATATTTTACCATCATTAGAGCTAAACACATATTGACACACAGACGGAAAAATACTCTCTTGTATAATCTTATTGCCTAGTGACGTTATCACATAGTCGATTGTCACATTTTAAAAGTTTACACAAGTTCTATAATAGATTTTGCAATAGGTATAGATCTCAATTCAATAAGTTATTCTTATTTTTAAACACTTCTATTGCCTCCCTTGTATTATGTTCTTTTAATTATTTATGTTTTTAATTAATTTTATAGTTTTAATGGAGTGTATATGTGTCAATATATGATCATCCACATGAGATTTATCATCTTATCAATTTTTATAATATCTTAAGTGTTCTTTTAACCTGAACCTTATGTTTCTATTTGTTTATCCTACGTAATATTTATCCCAACTTTCTCATTGTACATTATAAATAAAAAAAGGAGGACAGTAAGTACACTGACTTGCTTGAGGAAACAGAAAGAAATTAGTTCCTGATTTTTAGTATATTTTTGTGGCTTTTTGAGTTTAAAATTTTAAATGTAGATAAAATTTTAATTTATATATTGGATTTGAGGTAATGGTTAGGTTATTTTTATCATTACACAATGCCTTATTCGTCAAGCTACTCCTCCTCTTCGGCTATAAAAATATTTATATCTTATAAATGTGTTCAATGTAAATTTTATACTGACGTTTCGAATTCGTTGCAGAGTTCATCTTCGGAGCGATAGTTACAACCATGTAGAGATATAAATGCTTCTAAAAATAATTAGCCAACCCAATATTCGAAAATGCTTGGGGTTAACTAATCTAAGTGTTGAAAAAAGTAACAATAAATGTGTTTTGTGACCTTTATTTTAAAAAGTTGTTGAAAAAATATGCAAAAATAAATATTGAGATTTTTAACATACTTGTATAATAGAAAAAACTTATATGAAATGAAACAAATTCAAGATTTGTTATATAAATTTAAAATATAATATTGATAATTATAATAATATTAACATTATTATATCACAATAATTATTTATAGAGTTATTTAATAAGCCACAGAGCATCTAAAAAAACAGTGACGTTTTTATATTTCCAGTGTCCTGGGGCAGTACTAATTTGGCGCTTTACCTGCAAGCATTGTGAAAAGAGGCTAGAAAAGCCCCTCGAAAAAAAAACAATTTTCTCAAAATATTAAAATATTACAAAAATATAGATAACTCATGACTAAACTGTAAAACGGAAATCTGAAATAGGCAGCCTCCGGTCTAAATCTGGCATAGGAGAGTAACAAATTAACCTATCAAAAATAATTAACATCAAAGTTGTTTTTATTTTCATTATTGCCTCTGTATATCCAGAGAAACTTAATTGTCCACGTGTTATTGATGTTTAATTTACTTATTGGATATCCGATATACATGTTTGAGTACCCAATTCCGAAAAGCTGACGTACAACTAGTACACAGTCCACCGATGTCACTCAAGGAATGTGAATATTCCGCCCTTTTAACAACAAGCGCCTTCGCTTGTCTGTACCGTTATTCCGCCAACACGTGCCTATTTTTTATTATGTTTGTTTTTATGCATTTTTATGCTTAGCTCCTGTGCACTTGTATGCTTTCAGTGATAAGAGCCTTGAACATCGCTAAAGAATGTCGACTGCTCCTACGCGTCCTGCGCCAACAATATAATCCGCGATAACCTGACGTACGATCACTCATAAACCAACTTTGGGTTTACAGCCACGTTTGTTGGCTGTCTGTGGGTATGTTCTGCCTGTGCTGTTCATCGCAACACCAGAATTACATTCATCGCTATCGTTTCAACCCACAACATCTCATACAGTCCACTACTATCAGACAGCTTTTATTTTTATAAATTTTGTTAATTGTCGCCAGTCCGGTCATTTTGGTATTTAACGTCCTTACATTGTCCGGTTTTGTATTATACTGAGTGCGTTAAACGACTCAGTCGGCATGCCTTGANTATACTGAGTGCGTTAAACGACTGGCCGTTTTATTTATTGTAAACGTAAAAGAATAAAAAGTGATTTTAATATATTAAAAAAAAAATATTATACTTTTATTTATTTATATACAGTGCACACTGAATCATATATACTAAACAATATTAAATACTGTTTTGCTATACATCTCTAATTTTGAATTTTTTTTATTCTGTACGACCTGCATAATTTATCAAAGTATATTATCGTCTATGGTGATTATACTCCAAGTCAGTTAGATTCTTATAATTTTTATGAAAATCAATGGTCTGTTCTTCAAAGGTATTTTAAAATACATAATATGTATAATGTATAATTAAAAAGTGAATTTTAATACAATATAGAATGAATTTAATTACGACAGCCATTTGCATATAGAAGATAAGCCGTGGAAACAATTCTTTTTTTTTAAATTAAAGTATATTACATAGCCTTTAACTTAATATATATATAAAAAAGTGTCAGTATTTTGGAAAAATTTTAAAAGTTAAGTTGAAAAAGTTAATTTTTTGTGAAAAATCTGCCATTTTAAAACTCTGTGTGTAGGTAAAGGATCAAATTAAAAAAATATATANATTTTTATTTCTTTTTTTTTTTAATTTTAATAATTTTTTACACACAAAAAAATGCAAATACTCATTTTACATTGTTTTTTAAAGAGTTTAACTCAAAATTACGCAATATTACGATTACACCAATACATGCATGTTGTAGAAGAACTCTTAAGCTACAATTAAAAAAAAAAAAATTTTGCGTCAGATTGCATTTGAGCCGTGCACATAGAATTTCCCTATAATAAACGTGTATTTTCGTAAAAATTGTAATTTTAATCGTTTCATTGGTTTTATCAATTTCTTATCGATATATATATATATGACATCAATGTTGTTTTATTGTTTTCAAATATATAATTATTATTATGCATTTATTAAATAAAGTAAAATGAATTTATATTTGTAATAATTGTTTTGTTATTTACAAATTTGGTAATTATATTTAGAAATTTAATTCTGATAAAGAATGATTTAATTCCATATCCTCCTCAATTTTACTATATTCAGCATCATCATTGTGTTGTATTAATAAAGTCCTTGCTTCCATTGTCAGTTCCTTTGAATAATAATTTGTTTGTCTATTCAAACTGGAAATGTAAGGATCAGTAGATATAAGTAATATATGCAAAAGATCTTCATTTGTGTTAAGGCGAGAATTTTTTCGGGTATGGTGCTCTCTGTACATTTTATAGTCTTTGTTACGACTCTCTTGGGCTTCTTCAGATAAATTCCCTGAAATATTTTATTTCATTAAATATAAAATAGATATTTATGTATTTTATATTCAATTTTATTAAATCTATTACCAATAGGAAGAGGTGAATATCGTATAACATCTGCACCGTGTAGTAAAATTTTGTGTACGGACGCTGGCATATAGTACCATGGGTACAGAGAAACAAATACCTTGGCTGTGTTAATACAATATTTTTCAAAGGCTTCTATATTAATTGTATATCCACTTGCTATAGTCGATAAAATATTTCCGCAACGCTTTATTAAATTAACATCAATGCCAGTACATAAAGATGATGTTTCTGCATTTTTAAAAAATTTCCGTGCAGTATTGCCGTCGTTTGTTGTACCATGACCTATTTATAAAAATATCATGCAAATTATAAGTTTTTACATAATATTTAATACATATAATATTTATATCCGATTTGCTACATTATTACTATAATTTTTTGTACCTTGCAACACAATATCAACTAAAAGTCCCATCTCAGCACGAAATTTATTTTGAACAAGTTTTTTTCGCGCATTATATTGATCTCTGTTTTCAGCTTTAACCTATATTTATAATGTATTTTATGAAATATTTAAATTAAAATTTACAAAATTAATCTTAGGAATTTTACCTGCCACGTTTTAAATTCTAACTTGTACGATAAGTGGATAAAATATTCAAAAAAACGTATCCACGCATGCAATGTTGATAATCCGTATCTGTAATTTTCCTTTATAACAGGTCGACTTTTAATTGCCTCAATGTTATTCATTTCGGTCGGCTTACACCCGCAAATATAACAATTTTGACTGGATGTTCCAGTTATTGAATTGCAAACCTTTAAATGTGTAATAAAAACAAAATAACAATAATTATTGACCATAGACTATTAAAAATATACATTATTTTTTAAAATAAATAATTTAATTCATGCAAGTTAAAAAGAAACTTATTAAATTATAAATAAGATGAGCATTAATTTTACCTTTCCATCGACCATAGAAAATATAAGAGTGTTTTTAACTTCAAGCTGTTCTTCGTCAAATAATACATGCGTATTACTTAATTCCCTTATTTGTTGTTCTATATCTTCAACTTCTAATTTTGTATTTTCAATAGTTTCTTTCATGAACATATATTTTATAGGTCGGCAAAATCTTGTTGACGATGGAGTGAGATTTTTCCAAATAATGTCATAACTATTATCACTATAACATCGAAGTTCAAGAGGGACAATAGAGACATAAATACCGTTTGGTCTGTTTTACACACATTACTATTAAAATTTTGCCTATATTGGGCTTGACCACTACTACCGTCACAGACCCATTTAGAAATCATTTCAATAGATTTTCTATTTTTTTCAACCTTGCTTATTGTTTCTATTCGAAAAATTCGAAAAATTCTATTAATTGTGTGATCTAATAAGATTTGAAGAGGTATTTTACAACCTGATTCGCTAACATCCAAATTATTTGGATAACACTTCAGTTTTGCAAAATAAACCTTTTTGTAAGATGGATGAATATTACAGTTCCTATTTTAGAACCAAGACGAATATTCAAGTATTGTTGTTTTGTAAGTTTATTATGAACAATAAATGCTAGAGCTTCGTCTGGGGTATACGGAATTGGTTTATTATCATTGGAATTTTCCAAAATCATTTTCATTGCTGTTGAACTATTAGTAGAAGACGATAATTGGTCAAATAATAAAGCCTTATTTCGATTACCAGAAAAATATAGTTTATTTTTTGCAGCGGATAAAATTTCAGGTGATGTCATTGTAGTTAAAGTTAAAGCAGAGTTTATTTTACGTCTCTTTGAACGTTCCGAAGATTCAGTAAAATCGACATTAGGTCGGCCATCGATAGGTTTGGAACAAATTTTC